AGACGTTACTGGTCTTGAATGTAACACAAGTATTTGGTGACTACAAAGGGGGAATTTTTCATATTGTGCAATAGTAATGGGGATTCAAAATCGGGTGACTGTGACTATAATATGATTGTGACTGTAAAGGAGGTAAATCACTATGAAAATGACTGGGACCGGAACAGCCTGTGACTGTATAGGAGGTGTGACTATATAGGAGGTGACTGTAGGGGAGGTTGACTGTATAACGATCTAGTACATTAATATGTTTGAATAATTCCTTAGAATCTTCTTGCTGTTGCAGAAAAGAACGAATAACCTCTAAACTGCTTGCGGCATTGCTGCAACTTACAATCGGCAATTCAACACTATCATCAACTTCATTATCATCAACAATGTGCATATCTGAAGGTTTTCTGTATATTTCAATAAGGCTTTCAATAAATTTGTCACTGTCAGGCACTTCGTAAACTGTTTCTTCCTCTGGATTATTCAAAAACTCATCAAGACTCATACTATCAGTTAAGTTAAGATCTGTAATCAGTTGTGTGAGCTCACTGACTGTTGTAGTTGGTGAACGACGCTCACTTAACTCAATGCTGATATTACGAATCAATAAAGAATTCAGTTAACAAAGTTAATACGATAATTTTTATTAATATTAACAATGACTTAAACAAAGTCGTAAAATTTCCATTGATATCGACAAACCATGACACTATTACAAGTCAATAACGATTCAGTTAATTTTAAATATTTATATTATCATTGACAAAGGCAACTCTTTATTTACTAGTAACAAAGACATTTCTATTTCTCTATCAGACAATTTCATACCATACATAAAGATGAAGGACGGATAACGTTTGTGTCATGATTATGATTCAATTTTCATTGTCGGAGGTAACAACGCAAATATTTATATGTAACACATTCTGTGCGTTGTCTTTGTATAGACAGATCGCCATAACTTTGACCATTTCAAACCACGATGTAACATGGTTTGTTGTGCAAATCACATGAAAGTCACGGGCGTGCATATAGAGAGGGTGAAATTCATATAGTGGGAAACGAAAAAAATCGTGCAATGTAGAATATGGAGGGTGTGCATCAATTCCCTAATTCCCGAGCTCGGGAATAAGCCATGGCGTGCATGTATGGAGGGTGTGCATATATGGAGGGTGCATATATGGAGGGTTCACTGTAGTTCATAATGTTGTTACACGGTCACTGATTGGTTTGCGTGCATGTGCTGCGTTGTGACAGTCAATATCACCTTTAGTACTAGATAACCTGAACTTCAAGTCAACGACAATAGCAACGATGACATCAATTGCCTCTTACAAGGAATGGTTAGAAAAGAGTCTTGAAAACGAATACATTCGCTTCTATCCTTATGATGATTTAATCGATAACCGCTGCATAGGCCATGGTGCATTTGGCGTAGTTTTCAAAGCAAAAATAGCAACATCGGACATCACTGTTGCTTACAAGTTGATCATACATTCGGACGGAGACGAGTTCTTCAAAAGTTTTGTAAACGAGGTTTGTAATGATGGATGATGGAACTGTTGTTAGGTCTATGGAACTCTAGTTCTTATCTGTTGTTGCTTCGTGACGGCAATATTTTAGCTCAAGATTCATCGTAGGGTACATGACCATCCCAACATCGTTCGATTCCTTGGCATTAGCAAAGGTAACGGTGAAAAGATTTGATGTATTGTGAAATAGGCATGAATATAACACCTTTTCGACCTTTAATAGATATCGAGGGAAGATACTTGATGGTCTTTAATTATGCCGACAATGGTTCATTGCGGAAATACTTATCGATACCAACTATCAAGCTAGATTGGCCTGCCAACTGTCAACTGGGTTTGGACATCGTTAACGGATTAAGATATATTCACAAAGCTGGAATTTTACATAAAGATTTGGTAAGAGCATTATTCATTCATACGATTTCGTCTTATTTACGCTAGATGCAAGTGGATGTATTGTTTTCTTATATCATTCCATTAGTCTTCGAACAATGTATTAATTCATGGGAAAACGGCTAAGATCACTGATTTTGGGATATCTGAAAAAGTATTACTACAAAAGACCGGCGGCTCGAATCACCTAGGAGCTAAAGCATACCTTGACCCCAAGTGCTTTAATGGCAATGATAGTAAACGAGATGAAAAATCCGATATGTTTAGTTTTGGGATTATCCTATGGGAAATATCCAGCAGAAAATACCCATGCAGTGAATTGGACAGTTTATCCGACATTCAGCTTTATAGACTGAGTGGTGGTCGCCATGAAGTGGTTCCAGGCACACCAGAGAAGTATAAAAACTTGTATATTGAATGCTGGGATGACGAGTCTACAAAACGGCCAAGCAGTGAAGAATGTTATCAGAGATTAAAAAATATAATGACAGGACTGAATGAATCACCAACACATGATTCTAGCCAAAATTCCAAGATTGAAGATCATACTCTTTCTAATGAGCTGTCAATATTATATAAAAAGTTAATACTTGAAGGGAAATCTGCAGAACAAATAGCTGATTATTTCAAAAATTGGCTGACACAGAATCATGATAAACAAGGAAGTTTATTGGCCAAATTAAAGGCTCATACCAATTGTGGACAGTGCTTTTGGCTGATTGGATTCTTTCATGCACATGGAATAGAAACAGAAACAGATCTTGGACATAGACAAGCTGTTCAATGGTATCAACTATCAGTAAAGACAGGTAATGCTGTAGCACAACATAGGCTTGGTGTTTGCTATGAGAATGGGACTGGAGTGGAAAAGAATATTCAAAAAGCAGTTGAGCTGTATCAGAAAGCAGCTGAACAAGGATATGCTTATGCACAAGTTAATCTTGGCGTTTGCTATGAGTATGGGAGAGGAGTTGAAAAGAATATTCAAAAAGCAGTTGAGTTGTATCAGAAAGCAGCTGAACAAGGACATGCCATTGCACAGAATAATCTTGGCAACTGCTATTATGGGAGGACAGGAGTTAAAAAGAATATTCAAAAAGCAGTTGAGCTGTATCAGAAAGCAGCTGAACAAGGATATGCCAATGCACAATTTAATCTTGGTCATTGCTATGAGCATGGGAAAGGAGTTGAAAAGAATATTCAAAAAGCAATTGAGCTGTATCAAAAAGCAGCTGAACAAGGACTTGCCATTGCACAATGTTCTCTTGGTTTTTGTTATGAATATGGGAAATGTGGAGTGGAAAAGAATAATCAAAAGGCAGTTGAGCTGTACCAGAAAGCAGCTGACCAAGGAAATGTGTATGCACAAAATCGTCTTAATTTACTCAAAAATAAATAATTTTCTGGTTGGAGTTATCAAATGTTTGGGAACATGTTCATGCGTTTTAAAATTATTTCTACCTTTAATATTTAACAATATCATTTTTATGATCGCCAGATTTGATCTCCGTAAGTTTATCAAATTTACTTTGTACATGATAGAACATAAGAATAAGTTTTGCATAGCAGGCAGAAAACGATGACCATAATGGACCGCAAATTGGTGATATTTAATATTGTTGTTATGGAAAGCATTCGAAAAGAGTCAACGGTAAATAATTCTAAAACTTGAGACGTTAGTTTATCGAATTTTTTAAGTTGATAAATTGATTATTGGTTGTTGCTATCAAGAGAATAAAACAATGAATTAGATCGATGTGCTTTTATATTAATATTGATATATAATAATACAAAATGAGACCGTCTATATCTACTGTCTACATGCATGGTTTTATCATGCGCGTCATTTTTTCATTTCACACGTTTATGACAAGTCTCCTGATAGTGCGAAACTGAACAAATAGTCTATAGTTGTTGCGATTATTTACTTATACTCGGTTCGTTATATTTTTCAGGAATTAATTCTGACCACTTCTTTGCTAGCACTAGGTACATTCGGTTTAGTGTTAACTTGTAGAATAAAGATTTCTGATTACTTGCGATTACTTGTGGTTACTTGCGAGGTGCATGACGTTAGTTGCTACAAACGCCGCTTCCTGTCAATGCTACATAACAAATTTAGCAATTTAATTTTATAAGTTATGATATAGTCATGGCTAAATAAAATGACGGAGTAAAAAAATAATTACGGGGGAAAATGTAATAACACGCACTTCTTAAAGTTTTGGTGTTGGAGGGTACAGTTAAGTAGATATAGAGTTCACCTCCCAAAAAAAACACTTATTGTTATGATAAATGGCAATGTACTTATACTAAAATAAGGTAATAGTAATAGTAATGCATCTGCGGTTAAAATATCTGGATGCTTATCACACACTAGTGGAAAATGACACATAAGTAAATAGTTTACCTCGGCATAATATAAATCTTCTGTTATCTCAAGTGGGACATAGACCATGCAACCATATGTTACATCTCCAGAAATAAAATCCATTCCGAATAGCATGATTTAGTGAGTTTGTAATTGAGTTGCATATGGCCACTTGTCCATCCATCACACGGGACTACATCGGAGAAGTCCACATGCCAGCGTAGAATCTAGTCCGGAACGAACAACAAAAGTTTGCGATGGTGCGGTATCGAGAATAACAGTGATAAAAGCGTCTCTTAGCAACTATGTAATAGTCCGTACTTGGTAGACCCCCTTTATTAGTTTGTTGCGATCAGTAAGCCAGGTAGAATATCGTCTGTATTGACTGACATTTTATGTGTTGGTAGTGAGTTGAGTATATTAGCAAACCGCTCGCTAATGTTGGTGTACATTCTTTGCTACTTCCAAGTATTTTCTTATAAGTATTACCGTAAGTAGCGTAATAAACGTTGCTGTTAATTTGAGCTGGCTTTATTTCGGCAACTAGACGTTCAAGGAATGAATCCATACAAGTCCATAACTTTCAAGGAGTTGTCAATTGCTGGATTATGCATATCCTTAATTTCTGGAACTAACGACATAGTTTTGAGTAAAAATTTCTTTACTATTACTAACTTACGCCATTAATTTTACGTAATAGTCGTAGTTTACGATTATCAGCAAAATGCATTGTCCGTGAAATAAATGTGGGGCGCGAAACAATTACAGAGTTAGTTGTGGGGTATCAGACAAGTTTGTTCAATACTAGCGCAGCGAATGTCTATCCAAATATAAGTTTAATCAAATTACTACATACGTTTATTGTTCGAAAAGTAAATGTTGGTTATTTGATATATGAAAATTGTCTATATAACCTTTATCGTTGTATAAGAATTTGTCTATTGTAAGTTAAGCGCTATCAAGCCATTGACAGGCATTCAATATTTTTACAAACTGTTCACTCCTTACTAGAATTGAATGAGCTTTCATAATGACATATTTTACATAATTAGTATAATTTACATAATTTTTACTCATTTGTTAATAGTGATAATTAAACTATACATATATTTTGTTGCAAATTTGGAACACCATATATACAATCTAATCGAATCTAAAAGTTAAAAACAAAAATTTCTTAAACACATAGTCGACAGATAAAATTCGAAACTTATGTTTGTACATACCATGCAATGCAGGCCGTCGCGTTATTTTTTTTTTGATAGAATATAATATTGTTTGTTATCATACAATGCGTTTGTGCTCAGTGGGATAAGCGTTGTAAATTTAAATAATATTTTGAGTTTCTAGATAGAAAAAATATCAGTTGGTAAATACTTTTCTTTAAACAGTTAATTAATATACTAAATCAATATTTTCTTACGTTCAGCTGATGCAGCAATCCAGTGGTTATTCAGTATCGGGTAATATTTATTAGATATTACACTACTAGAATACCTCCCCTCTTTTTCCGCACGTGACAATGGTTTCAAATTTTCGTGATAATATATTGCGTCCCATACATTTGTGTCATGCTTGTCGCTTTCTATCTCGCACAAGAGATCATTAATTTGCAGATAAAGTCCCCACGCGCTCGGACGCTTATTATGATCGCCATCACAACACTTTTCAGCAAGTGCTCTAAAAGACTCTGGCGTTGATTCAGGCAGCGGTGGTCGTAAGCCCTCAATGATCTCGCATATCAAACCGCTATCGAATTTTTTATCTCTAAACGGAGGTTCGCCGCAAGCAATTTGACGCATGAGAATGCCAAAAGCGTAAACGTCAGACTTTTGAGAGTATTCACGAGTCCAAAAGATTTCGGGTGCGATAAAAGGTAACACTCCCTGAATAGAAAGGTCCGGCTTGGGTATCGTTGCCAACTTGGACAAGCCCAGATCGCAAATATATACAGTGTCCTGATCGTCGCTACTCAAAACTATGTTGCCGCCATGAAGATCGCAGTGGATCAATCCTTCTTCGTGGATGACTACCAAGCAGTGTGCGATGCCCTTTAAGAATTTGAGTTTCATTTTCCATGTCAGTTTGTTAATGTTATTCTCCAAATACGTGGTAAGATCGCCGCCATTGGCATATTGCATCACAATCATGTACTCTTTCGTTTCTGGTATTTGGGAAATGCCATAAACTTTGAGAAATCGGTCAAAAATGTCTTTCGAACACATGGCGTGGTTCCTGAACTATTTGACAAAAACGACCGATTTAATATATGTATTACTATACTCTGAACGATATATAAGTAAAAGAGCGATTACCTCAAAAATAAAAGATTCCGTCATCTGATTGAAATTCTTGAACATTTTTAGAGCAACCAAATCTTGCATACTTTGACGATTTCCACATTTGGCAACAGACACTGTGCCGTAACCACCGGTTCCGACCTTTTCCATTACATCCAAATCAGAATATTCCACGTATGTCAACCCATACCTATGCATAAGAATATCTAACACCGAGCGCATATCATAGTGAAATACTAAATAGTAATCTTCTGTCGATGGCTCTTGAGTGAATCCGATAATCCAAATGTTTTGTGGAGTCAATATGTTTGGGTAAAATTCGATCAGCTATTAAATAAAAAGGTCAGTTACAATGTATGATGTATGATTGAATAGTAAAGCGTTTGATTGCAATACCCAATAACACTCACTTGATAAAAGTTAAATGACTGCTCGTAGGTTACTTTTTTGAGCGCCACCTTTTTTGAATTGTTTTTGTAGGAAGGTAGGTTTATCCAATCAGCCGTATGCGTACATCCATGATCCAACGACGAAACCTCTCGGAAATTTTTCAACCGATCAAACTCTATCCAATTGAGGTAGCTGTCGCATTTAGCGCTTGTGTTGCGCCACGATTCCATCATGAACGAATCCAATGATTTGCTGCCTGTAGTCCAATCGGGAGGTTTTGGCGCCTTGCATTTTGAACAAAAGGCGGTTATGCTCGAATTCAAATACGCGGTACACGCCAGACACAGTTTGTTTCTACATTCCGGTATGATTAAAGCATATCCTCGTCCTCGATGCGTAAACCCGATAGTATCCCAAACATGAGTCTTGAGCATGTTGGGCCAATTCGTCAGCAGCTAAAACGTTGAATATCACAGATGAATAACGATTGATTTCAAAAAGTCAATTACAATTACAATTAAAAAAAAAACTCACTTTATCATAATCTGCCTCGTCCACTTCATCCGGTGCTTCAACCAACGACACTGTTGATATGCCGAGCGAGTACGTAGAGTGAGCGTACGTAGAGTACCTAGTTGGAGAAAAGCTATTATTTTCGAGCATGTCAAACGGAATCCACTCTAAATAGGCTTCATTCGCAGACTTTGTTTGACTTTGTGACTTCCTTATCAACTCGTCAAGTCTTTTATTATTGCTCGTCCATCTACTAGACAATTTTTTATGCCCACAAATACACCACACCGGACTACATCTAAGAATTCCGCAAGCGAAACAGAATCCATATAACGAATAGTAATAGTAGAATTCTCGCTTTGCTACTAAATAATAAGTGTCTATATGCTGAGTAAAGCCGAGAATTTTGCTATTACGATTCTCAAGCCATATCGGATACCGTCTGAACCGATTGATATGCGATGGACGTTTGTATTTGTGGGTTGGAAGCGAGTACACTCTAGCAAAGTCGTGCATAAACTCTCGTGTACATTCACTTTCTGTTCCCAGCAATAATAATATCAACGTTCTATCTTGGCAGTAAACGGCACTATAGACCGTATGGTCATGTAGAGGCTCCACGTTTGTGAAGCCATTCCATTCGAATTCTGTTACTGTACATTCTCCAGTTTCATGGTTATCACAAAGTTCAATTAGTTTGTCGATTGTGCGATTAGTTGGCATTTGTTTACCCGGGGAAAAAAACTGTCAATTTTACCCAGTCTTTTATAAAAGAAGTACAACCCTTTGAAATAAACCGTGTAATGGTGCGACAGTTGATACGCTGATAAGATTGACAATTTAAGTGTGAGAGAAAATCAAAAGGTTTCCTTATATTGTTATTGTTTGTTTATCTAATAATGAGGAATAAGCTAAAAAAGGGGGACGATAACAAATCCGGGTAATTTAGGAATTGGACAAACATCCCATGAGGGATTTTCTTTGTCCGTAGTTAATTGTCTTTTTCACCTTATCCGCAGACATCAAAGTTATTCAGTGTCACACGATAACCACTGAATTACTATAAGCCTGTCTTTTGTTCTCCATCTTTGACAAGATAAAGAGTGACGACATTGAATATCCTACTTGGGAAAATTGCGATATTTTAACTGCGCAAGCTGTCAGCTGGCCACTATGTACTGTTGTACCAATGAACCCCCTTCATAATCAGGCGGATGCTGGAAAAACTATGTAACAAGTCATTTGGTTTTTGTCTGTCAGTTGAGCTAGCAGGTGTTCGTTTAATCGCTATTGTTCTAATTCCTGTTTCATTTCTTGCTGGGTTGGATTTCGAATCGGGTATTAGTATTTTTTTTTACTAGTCTTTCCGAATCCGGAATTTTCTCCCCGTTGGTTTCACAACATACAATCCTCGGCTATAGATTATCAGCGTCACACGATCATGGTATGATGCTTTTTGTTTACTTGCTATGCAGTGTCACCACGTACGTATCAGATCAATTTGCATGTCACATGATAGCGACGGAATTCAATAACGATAAAATTTAGAAACTGATAACACTTGTCTTATCTATGTTAATCTGCTGATTAATCTGCCTGTTAAGGATTTTTGGTTCACGTGAGCACTGAGATGATGTCTTTTAGTTCCGAGTCTTCTGTAAAGAAGTGCTTTTAGTTTTATTATTACGTCATTTCATACAAGTCATCCCCCCTCTCCCTTGTTTCTCTCAAACGATTTCATTAGCAAATATACTTAGCGACTTCTGTCAGTTTTATAGCTAAATTACTCATTGTCCGAAAACTATTATATGTTTTATATCAACGGTTCAAAAATTCAAATCATCACAACCATCAGTATTTCAATATGGTCGATAGTGAGAATTTCTCTTGCTTGAAGAAATTGGTCGTTGGTAACCGTGTTGTTTGTAAAACAATCCGCACCGGTTGCCTAATTTGATGTCTAATTAGAATTTCGTCACCTAAAAACCAAATACCTGCCGTCGTCGATCCTACTTACACAATTTACGCCCATTAGGCCCTCTCCAACATGGCGAGTCACTAGTTTCGCAATTAGCACATTTCTGCGAATCGTCATCAGATTTATCCGGTCTAATCAACCTGATCTCACCACCTGGGCCTATTTCTGTTGGTCTATGAATACCTTTAATTTTTAAACTTTGTGGTAATAGGAGAGACATTAGTACATGACGATGATAATAACGATAAAATAAATTGAATTTTCAACGTTTACAAAACAGTCTCGAGAGGTTGAAACCACTTACTACAATCCACACGCATTACACAATAGTTCCTTTCCTTCAAGATCCCTCCTCCAAGCGGGCGTCTCTTTCGTTCCACAATTCGCACATCTATAAAGCTCTCCTAGCTTCGTCCTTGGCTCGTCCTTTGTGGATTTCCCGGTATCAAGTACAGCTTTGATCTTTCTTCTGCGACGTTTTCTAGATTTTTTTTCGGCTTGAGAATTAGAACCATTAGACAAGCGAGCGGCTGAAGATGAAGCAGAATGACGAGAGAATGGTTGCGTGGGTTGATGAACAGGTGAAATGAGTTCGGAATCAGACGTAAAAGAAACATTGCTAGAATAAGAACGCATCGTATTTGTACTTGTGCACTGCTCGACTTTTTGGCGTTTCCTTTTTCCTACTTGTCCGACGATACTATCAGTAGTACTCGCTTCGTTGACGGTATTCTCATAACTCAAAATATTTGAGCCGCATTCACTGTTTACATTCTCGTTTTCAACTTTTCCTTCGACATTTTGGTTATTCACGGCGCACCAGACATCAAAAACTGCTTTCGGATTAATACCGGTTCCACTACTACCTGCCGCAGCTTCACACATTCCAAAACCATTCCCGATCGACACGTAAGCAGTCTGAGCGTTCGAAGCATAGTATTCTCCATCGAACTGACACTGCGTATTATAGTTCAAGTCGGGACGAAACAAGTCCTTGTGGTTGATTTGGTGATTATTGTGTAAAGGAAATTGGGGAAGCGATTGAGATTGGAGATGATAAGAAGGATATTGTGTAGTCGAATAAAGAGACGTTTGATGGTGGTAAGGAGTTTCGAGAGTTTGTTGCGATTGTTGTTGATACAGTGACGGCACGTATGGATAGACATTCGAGTGAACTGGCAGTTGAACGCAAGCTGAACGCTGATAGGTACCTGGTGATGCTTGCTCTGATGTGAGTAATGGTAACTGTTGTACTTGATTTGACGACAACGATGATGTTGATAGAGTATCCTTATTTCCGGTAGATTCGTTGCAAATCTCTGGATTAGCCAAGTAAGGCTGATATGATCTGCTCTCGGCTGCCATAAAAGGTGACGAAATTACTGGAGTGGTAGTGGCCGAGAATGAATCGTAAGCTGGAGGAGGGATTAATGTTGATTGAGAAAGGAAACTTGGAAGCAGCGAAGAGTTAGGCGGTGGAATGTATGTAGAGGCCAAAGATGGATGTGGCTCTGATGATGATAACGTCTTGATTTGTCGAGCAGTCATATCGCTATCTGCAGCGAGTTGAAGTAATACGTTCTTAAGATGCTGTTTTTGGTTGTTATTTACTTGGTAGTTACTTATTGTTTGCCACTACTTGTGTTTCTATCTCATTTTCTTATTTCTCTTTGCTTTCTCCAACTTCGCATGTAATAAGTTAGCTTTTAAGTGATGGTTAATTTGTCAATTAGAGTAATTGATTTGACAGAGTTTGATAGAGTGATTAAGTCAATAACGTTCTTCTATCAAGAAAGAGCAAGCGGCAGCAGTGTGATATGAGTTTATATATATATAGTGGAAGAAAAATGTGAGATGATCTCAGATTTAAATATGAGAGCTGTTTATAACATAGTCGAGAAGATAATTTTCCAGACGGCGTACTTTGATATGTTTAACGAATTCGGCTGGGCTGTAAGTTAAAGTTTTTTTACTCAGTTTACACGGCTAAATTTATTACAATAAAATTTTTAGCTCCATATATGTAATTGTAAATTTTTAGTCCGATTCGATATTCCCAAAGTAGTATCATTATATTTATCTAATCAATTCTCAAACGCAAATCATTGTCGTGTATTCCGACTGCGACAAGTTATCGCTTAAGTAATTGGTCAAAAAGCAGCCTGGTTGCATAGTTCATGGGCTTGTACTTTTTATTATTTCGTTTTTTGTTAGTCCGACATCCGCCGTAATGTATTGTTACTATGAATAGACCTCTCCTCATGCGGCTCAGATGCAAAGCGGAGTATTGATTAGTATTGTGTGAATTAAATTTAAGGGTATGAACAATGCAAGCGTTTATATCGTATTTATCCGTTCTTATTCGTCCGTATTAATAGCTCGAGATTTCAATTCGAGGTTTCAATGCAATCCCAACAGATCACGTGTGAGTACGCAAACCTGCGATTACTAAAATGGTATTGCTACATAATGCGGAAATCGAAACACTGCAAAGTTTTAGTTCTCATTGCTTATGAGCGGAGTATGGAAACACAGTCTATTACAGCTCGATAATCTCAAACGAAACGTCATGCATGATGCCAGATGCTAGAATAAGAATAGGTTGTAACTTTAACTAAAAGCGCTGTAAATAGTCGGTTATTTATAACCGGTAAACAAATTATTGCGTAATTAGCTCGCTGCTCAAAGAATACCGTATTACAGTCTGTTTTAAGCAAGTCCAATTTTATAAAGTTTGATTATCAGAAAATTTTGCCAAATTAAATATTAACTAACTAGAGTGAAAAATAATAAGAGGCTTCGCCTCTTCAGCATAATGGTTCGATCATCAAGTATCGTAATAACTGTATGTGCAATGTATAAATAATTTTGCATTGTAACAATCTTCGATAGAGTGATTTATAGTTGAGTGATTTTGTCTCGTATTGGTAATAGTAATGAAAGTTAATGTTAAGTTGAAGTTGACGTAATATTTATATAAAAAATTATTAATTGTTGGTCATTGTATATTGGAAACATCTATGTATTGTTTGAGTTTAGTCTTCTAAAAATTCAGTAAATTACTGTATAATTTTAAGGGGAAAAACGACTCTCCTATTACTCAGTGCTCATGCATTGTTTGTTTAATAATCTAATAATTCAGTAAAATCGTTCAGTGATTGTCATATTTTGTTTCCACAACGCGCACGTTCATGATATTCGTTTGGTGCATGTCTGACAATCGTACGTGTATTACAGTAAATATGGATTGCAGTAGATTAGCAAAGTGAAATTATATGTAACAAATTTACTTACCACATGTACAGTATATTGTCATTCGTAATGTAAATTATAGATTCATAACTCATACAACACCGTTTTTAGAAGGTTTGTATATAGTTTGGTTGGTTAGTGACGGTGGTGCTTCTGTCAAAGTTTTTATTGATAGTTATTCTTATGTCAATGATTAAAGAGATAATGCTATCACTGTTTAATGGAAGGCTGTCATCCGTGTGTGAAAAAAGTATCTGATATGTGTAGTTTACGATTTATATAAAGTGGCAAAAATTTTATTTGTAGTAGTGATATTGTATTTTGTAAATATGTCGTGGGTTGTTAATATATATGTTTATATCAAACTAATTAAAGGGTGGCGTAACAATATGGATGATATATAAGTCAAAAAAATATTATGCGTTTATTTTTAATAAATTGCTGATAGCGTAAGGGCAAAAATACACGGACAGAATTTGTATTAATCGATTAATCGATTAAGGTTTATCGGGTAATCATCGGTTCACATTAAAGGCTTGGCAGCACGAACAATTTTTCGTGCAAAAACAGCGAAAGTTGGATACGGCAATTTAAAAAACAATAGTAGCAGAAAAATGTATGGTTGTAACGCGTAAAGGTAAAAATACATGGCAAAATTTGTATTAGTTTAGTGGGCAAATTTGCGCACACGGCACAAAAAAATTTCGTGCAACAATGAAAGTAAATTATGCTCGAAACGTTCATAAGTTTTCAAAATAAAAAGAGTCCCCTCTAATTATTACATATAATTTTTTAAGGTATAGTAAATATTCTATCCTCGTCACTTGATGTCTAAGGTTAACCTAATTTGCCAATGATGTATTCCCATTTGTCATCTGCGTGTATCAATTCCCATATTAAATTTCGGACTTCTCTTTAATTACTTGAATTTTATACGACTGTTTTTATATAACCCTTATGCATATCCGATTCTTATGTATACAGTTATGCATAAGAAAGCCCGCCCACCTCCCTTGACATTGTTGTGTATTTATAAATCGCCGCACCAGCATTCTTTCCTTGTAACATAGTGTTTCTTACAAAGTAACAAATACACCAAAGACAATTGTCATTACCATTATAATTAAACGTAAAGTATTCAGATTTGCCCACAGCACGCCTCTTCTAGAATACACGTACTATCAGTTGAGAACGATCTTTTTCGATCTCGGGAAGATAAAAATAACTTTTGGTATGCTTCATCGATTATTAATTATTGTTAAATTTACTGTTAATTAATTGTCTAGCTTTAGTAATTATTTGTTCTATTCAAATTATACTACCAAAATGTCGTCAAATTGGACTACTAAATAATGATTATTCCTCCAGCTTTCTCACGACATACAGTATTTCCACTAGTATTTGGTTTGTATGCGCCCTTATTCATAAACAAGTAAATAATAAATAAGTACATTACATCATTATTCATCTTTCCAAATAAAAAATCAAAAATTATTTCAGCACCTAAAATTCAATTCCATTATTTGCTTGCTTTTCTTTCGATATAAAAGAAAATAGCTTTCATATTCACTAAAAAGAAGTTAATAACACAGCTTTTGTCTTACATTATCGATGTATATTCCCTTGATACCAATAAAATTGTTTTCGATACGAATACGAATTCATGGCTTTCGCATGTCAGTACACATAATAATCTACTCCATTTCAACGCTAGTAACAATGAGCTTTGTGGAAATCGATACTCATTCGTATTGGCGTCCTTCTACCGCATGACGCAAAATTCTGTCCCATTTCATTAATAATAATTAGACAACCTATTGAATTATCCTTTCCGGAAATACCTCCTACAACACCCCCCCAAATTTTATCGAAAATTGCGGTTTGCAGTGGCTGCCAATCTAATCCTGATGGTCGATTAAGCTATAGGCTTGCATCAAACCTGTATGTATCAAACATGTTCCGTATGCGAAGAGAAAATACCTCTCCCCCCCCGTTTACCTTAGTCTGATCTGCAAGTGCAAATCCATTTGTCGAATATCGAACTCTAACAAGTCAAATGGGGTACTCTAAAATCGAAGAGCATTGACTCTTTATTCGGATATGCTACAGTACGTGTTTTCTTACAACATGAAAATTAGCAACTGTTGGTACCATCTATCATTACATTATGCATGTAAATGGTTACAAAATAACAACCCTATTTGGTTGCTTATCATTCTTTAGCTTTCCATTGCTCGAACAAAATGAACAACTTTTGATCAAGCTTTCTAAATACTGAAATACAGGATCCCTAAACAGTTATTTCCCAAAAAACATCATACTTTAACATTAATGGTATGAACACCTCCCGCAACCAGTTCCCTTTGCAGAACTGCTTTGCACTCACGGTACATAAATACCAAGGATTAATATCACCAAATATATCTTTATTCTTAAACTGCTATTGAGGGCCGTGCTTCCTGGAAATTCCTTCCTTAAACAGAATGCCTTTTCCATCAATACTGCAGTCCTTCAAGAATATAACCGCTTGGAACAAAAAATTACAAACTACCCACTTAATTTCCTGGATTGTAATAATATGTAATCCCACTCACTATACATCTACTACATGTATACATCATTTATTTTATCCAATCATGCGATGTAAAATGACATGTGTTTTCCAAATAATCATGACATTTGAACGACTCCATACAACTTTTATCTACCCACGCATAAACTAACCGCATACGACATCGATATACAGCAACCAATTAGTAAATTCCAACTAACCATGCATATCAAAGATTATTGCCTCAAAAACGTAAACAAACATATAATCTCATCGATACTATGGTAAAATATTCATTACACCTTAAATAATAACACCATGCGACAAAAAAAGCAAACACTTTATTTTTTTAAATAATAAATTCAAAGCATGGTATTTCCCAAACACATCGAATTTACATCGACTAATTGACTACACACACATGCATGCTCAGATGTAAGAAAAAAAAATAAAACAATATACCAACTATGTATCGTTTAGCAAAAAGAAACAATAAAGCAAATTATAATAAAAACGTTGCACCGCCATTATACAAATACATAATTCCTTCCCACCTTCCCACTAATATAAATCAAGCATCATTTCACAAAAGCGAATATAAATTTATGAAATCCACCGTATACAATATAAACCCGCACATACCACAATGCTCGTACATTTCGATTCCACTGCTATCCACGTGTACGACGTCAAAGAAGAAATCAAAACAAAAACTGCTCTACCTAAAGCAATGAAACTTCCTTAA